ATATTTACATCGCTGGGCCCTCTTGATCGCTCTGATGTCCCTTCCGTGGGCTTTGGTAACCCAGCTAGTCACCCAACTGTCTCTAATTATCTGAAGTCTGTCTGCGAAGAACAAGTGACGCCAAAACAACCCGTTCCTTTGCTCTTTGACAAAATTTTTGGCATTGTGCAATTCAATCAAGGCGTCTTTATCACAACATGATATTAGCCTTTTTCTGCCTGGATTTCTACTCCGGCGATCGTGTTTCTCACTTAGAACGCTTGAAAACGAATAATGTCATGTGTCTGCCTGGTAACGAGGGTTTCTTAAATCGCCACACCTGCGGTAAGACACTTCGGGGGAAGCACACCCATGTGTTCGCTGTGAAGCCTTCCCCTTCGCCATCCTCCTGTCCCCGATCGCTAACTTTCAGTTATACGTCCTCCTGTGTGACAGAATGCACGTCAACCTACGCCAGGGTTTTCTATTTCGCTCCACGGACCCCAAAGGTTGCGTTACTAACGCTCTTTTCTTGGCTCGGCTGTTACCAATCGTCTAAAGAAGTACCTCTCCAATTTAAACCTCGATGAAGGCGAGACCGCCCACAGCTTCCGGGCAGGTTGTTCTATAACGTTGTCACTACTGGGCGCCTCCGAAGCTATAGCTAAACACATTGGTTGGAGGAGTGTCGCTACCGCACAATATTACACCCAAACGGACGCGGTCATGCATCCCACCCAAACCTCTTCTATCTTAACCACCGGCGCTTCTGCTTCGTCCGCCCTTCAAGATTCCCGCATGCGGCAACTTGGAGAAACCTTTCGAAGCAAGCCTTGCCTTGAAAGAAGCCTTGCCATAATGCTAGATAATATAACGCTTGTATAATATATCAAGTTCATATTTTTTCTGAGTATTGGAGAGAGTATTTGCACAGTAAACGCGAAAGGATTGATCAAATGTTGTTTCAGAGCCAGCGAAGCTCGGGCGTGAAAATCATTTTGTCCCCATTCTTAGTTTATTTTCAGCTATGGTATTGTGCAGCGGGGCGAACGGTGAGAATATATTCATATTCTCACTGGGCGCTTCGCTAAACAATACCATATTAATGCGTTAAAACTTAATGCAAATATAAGCAGCATCAGAGTAATCGCATGAATAAACACGGTTGGTATAAAAGACCGGGAAAACAGCAAATTTTCACATTTTGCCACGAAGACGACCTGGCTGCATATACAAGAAGGAATTTTCATCCCACCCACCTCCCCTCGGCTGCGACACCGTCTCCTCGCCGCACTTTACTCTTAGCTGAAAATCATTTTGTCCCCATTCTTAGTTTATTTTCAGCTATGGTATTGTGCAGCGGGGCGAACGGTGAGAATATATTCAGAAGTTTAGGGAAAAGTCCCTACTTGGGCTTTCATTAAAAATCGAAGTTTAGGGAAAAGTAAGAAGAATCTTGCTCAGGTACATGGTCATGGTTGATTCAAAGAATCTGTAAAGATTAATCTTTTGGCTTTGCAAATGAATTCATCGTCGTATTGATTTGAATAGCCCGAGAAGATATTAGCGACTGGCGGCATATTCTTGCTGATTTTTTTGCTATATCTTGTATATTTCTTGTCTATTGTGAAATGGAAGTGAGCTGCTATAACTTGATTGTGTTTTTCCTTCCCTATTTCATTTCAGAACGAACTATGGCGCAGAAAGATGGAGAAGACGAAAAACAAACGCTTGCTTGCAGAGAATAATAGGTATTGTTCTATTAATATATATGTGCATCAGTTTGCATTTGTGACTTGAAATAACACGTTTGTACACGGTTTGCGAAACTAGAATATAGCGGTTTAATCGAACTTTTCTGGACTATATGCTAAAGTTTTCGCAAGAAATGACTGAAACTTTCCCGTCTGGGACTAATACGTTTGTCGCACACGCGGTTGTCGCAATGGCATGTGAATACTCGTCCGTCAGTGCTTCATGTTAGTTTTGTACAGGGAAAGACGGATTCAAAAGTGAAATAGAAGGCCTATAACTATCCGTATTTGTGTATGTTGTACTTTATGCTAGACTTTTAGTTTAATGTTCGGAGAGTGTTTTTTACTTCCAATTAAAGTATCTTATGGTGCTGTAGTGATTCTTTCGCTTCCCAAGTCGAAAATCAAGTCATTTTAACCAGGCTTTATATGCCCGTGAATTTTTTGTTTTAACGAGGTTTTTTCTTTTTTTAGAAAAAGAGAATCGTCGAAGTGGAGAGATGTTGGACCTGCCTTGGGACATTTATGCACGCAAATACAAAAATTCGATTTCGGTGACAATATGCATGAATAAAATATGCATGGGTTTGGCTTTTTGGCTGAGATGTGATGAACACTCCTCTGTTTACCTCCTTGATTTTCAACTTTTTCGGATTGCGGTTTTTGCATGAGTCAGCCTGGTCGTTTCGAGCGCATGCGGAGAAAATACAAGTGATTCTGGGGCCCCATCACTTGTATTTTCTCCATCTTGAACGACAATAGTCCAGACAAAAAATATCGCTCACAGAGCGCCTAGAACATAAAAATGCATGAGAAATTGTATTTCTAGAAGGAGTTAATAGTCGAGTGTTTCAGATTTCTCAGGACCACGAAGAAAATGTTGATTGTTTCCTACAAAACGTGCATGACATTTTGTATTCGCGTGCGCAATGCGGAGGCCTTGGACGAGTGGCGTAGGAGTGTTGGAGGTCTGTAATCGAGTTTTGAGTGCTTATCTTGAATGTTTTACTCATAAGTGACATTTCTCTTTTATAAATTATTGATATCAAATTTATGCATCTACGTTAAGGTATCAGATTGTGAGGGATCGTCGCAGGATCAGATGATGGACGATCGTCGCAGGATCAGATGATGAATCGTCGCAGGATCAGATGATGGAGGTCGTCGCGGGATCAGATGATGAACCGTCGCAGGATCAGGTGATGGAGGTCGTCGCGGGATCAGATGATAGACGACGAGACGGGTGTTCAAGTGGAAGCTAGTTGAGGTACAAACTATAAGTATACTAATTACGATAATGCATGATTAATGTCAGTGCATGATTTATTCTCGGATTGATTCCTCCTGGTGGTCTAACCGAAGTATATTCACACATCAAGTGACAAGCTTTTGACAATGCATGATAACAGGAAATTTCTCGCAGCTCTCATGAGGGCGTTTTCGAGGTGTCTCGATGGTTCAAACATTCCTAGTTTTGTCACTTGCGTGTGAACTACATAATTAACAGCTGCGAAAGATGCATGATGGTAAGAAAATGTTATAATAAGCATCGCATGCGCGCACGCAATGAGAAAACATTATCTAATTCGTATTGGCCTAATTTTAGATTAATACGAATGTAATCACGAGTACTTATATGATTATATAAGTTCTCTGTTCAGCCTGTTAAAATGCGACTTTCGAATGACCGTCCGTCAGTGGCATCAAAAATTATACTTTCGTCATTGAACATTTAAATTCGATTTATTGAAGTTTGAAATGAAGAAAAAATTACTATTTGATGTTTAGACACTAGCACTCTTCTGTTTCCCTTGTTGGTATTAATTTTTTTTCGAATTTCGATTTTCTGGTTAATCAAGCATGAAGGAAATAAACGTAATCAAATTAATCATTTTAACTAACTTGATGAAGAAAGAAAATATATCTCTCTATATTACACGATATATTACATTGCATGATAACTACACACTTACATAATGGGGCATATCTGGGGGGTATAGTGTTTAACTGTAGGTCAATATTGTATTGTACCCTCTTGCTTTAAAATTGAACCCTTTGAAATGAGACTTTGCATTTTGACACACTTACTATGTTGTTTGGTTCTTTGCACGCACCACCGTCGAGACGTTGTTGAAAAGAAGAACGTAGCTGTTTGGAATGGAGCGACGAAGCAAGTGAAATTCGGTTTACTGTCTACCGAAGGTAATTATACGGTGTGAAAGGTAAGGACCTTATTGATTATTATTGATTAGCCATATTGAGTAAGTTGCATGTTGAACTCGATTACGTTTATTTCCTCCATTCTCGGTCAACCATAATCCAGAACGTAAAGATAAACGATGCATGAGGTGCATGTCTTAAGAAGGGATAATAGAAGAGTGTTGTTGTCTACATCGGTTTCGGATGAAAAAGCATGCAAGTCGTGAATACGAAGCATTTCTTTCCAACATGCCAGATTTCCAAAAAAATGCATGATCATAAAATAATTTTTGTTGCTCTTGTCGGACAAAGCGCAGTTTAATTAATTATTTAACGGCCTGCTGTTTTGCAACGAACGATATGCGCTGCGCACGTTAGACCACCACCAGGATTCAATCGACGAAGCTCAAGATTTGTATAGCAATGTACAATTCCTGGGACTGAGTTCAGATGAACGGAACTAAAACGGTCAACTATAAATAAAACCTGAACTGCATGTCATTTCTAAACGATTTCTAAATGAAAATACCAAATTCGGACCGCCGGTCAGGTAACCTGAAATTCAGGTTACCTTTGGAGGGTTTTTCTCCGGGCACTCCGGTTTCCCTCCTTTTCGTTTGGCTTTAAAAACAGTGTCCATGTCTGGGGCCAAACGTGTCTAAGATAATAGTGAGAAGATTTCTTGCATATTGTACAAAATCGAGAAATCTTATTAGTACATGAACTATTAAAAACGCGAGTGTTTGGCTTTTGGGTTGAATTCCCAGAACACTGACGTAAAGGATTAAACATCTAGACGGAGCCATTGGACCATGCAGATTCGCAAACCGAACACCGGCATGCTTTTTTTCAGGCAGCACTTCTACCCATGGGTAACCTAGTTATTAAATAGAATTCAAAACATTCCCCAGATCAAATTTTAACTTGTTGATATAGATTTGCCGAGTTTCTAGCTTTTTACAATTTGCATGTTTATATGCGTGGTCACAATCTGCGATCTGCATATGCAAAAAACATCTTACGCTGATGCATCACTTGAACTTCGTTTAATGTTCGGTTTCCATACACTAAGGAATCACATTCGACTGAATTCCACACATGGTTTAATATTTCTGCGTCTGGATATATTAATAAATACAGCTACAAGAACGAATTTACAGCTTTGGTTTTGCTTGACTAGCTATTGATGACTAAAATATAATGTTCTTTCAGATCTACGATTGATAACTATGTCCCACATTATGGAGAGGCCAATGTTTATTATTGCATTAGATTATGAGTTGTGGATGATATTTTGCGTCGAGTCCGACTATACCCAAGTATCGATAAGAAATTAAGTTATTATTTAATTTATATCTATATGTTACATCTGTTATTCTTTATGTTACATGATAAGTAAGCATTATTGCACAAACAATTAATCGTAATTTTAAAATGGACATTTCTCATAGTTGGAAATGAAAAATAAAATTAATCGAAGTATGTTTGTCCGGCCATATTATAATATAATATTATAATATAATTTTTAAAGAAAGATTTCAATTTAATTTCCGCCATGAAAAAGAATGAATGTTCGCGAAGGAATATTGTTGTTACCGCGGCTTTTTTTAATGAGGTCTATAAACCCATTTGCTTTATAAGCCAAGCCATTGACACTCTCGATGTTTATATTGCTTTTGAAAATATTACCTCGAATGTTCGGCTGTTTGTGTTTCATAATGTTCTCGTTGCAAGGTTTGTCTGATTGATCCACGATGTAGCAATAAGAATTGATTTGATCAATTCTGATTGGTTGCTATTTTTAGGCAGCCAATCAGAAATTATGATGCTTAATAAAAGAAGGTTCACGTGGAGGTTCAAGGCTTTCAGAACTCAGCAACGAACTTCGAGGACTTAAAAACAACATTCAGAGTAAGTTTTCAAATGGAAATTAAAACCGAGAGTAATTGCTTTCATTCATATACTTCATGTAGTATTACTACATAATGACGCATTTTGTCCAATGTTTTTTTGTCTCGCGCGAGCGTTTTCGTTTATAGGGAGACAATGCAGCCCCTATCGCTTCATCAAAAACCTTTTTAACATTCTTTAAAGTCAGTGCTGATGTTTCCACATAGCAAACGGCGCGACTCTTTTTCGCTAATGTCTCTGCACGGTCCTTGGAAATGGGATTTAAGTGATTGTTTTTGAGCGAGATGAGTGCTTCAACGTTAGACCGCAGGTCACAATGCGTGCCGACCAACACGACGGGTGTGGTCGGTTTGTATTTGTCGATCTCCGGCAGCCATCGTTGTTTAAGATTGAGAAATGAGGAGGGTGCCATTATGTTGAAACAAAGCACGAAAACATCGGTCTGCGGGTAGGAAAACGGACGTAAAGAGTCGAAATCCTCCTATGAAGACAAAAAGTCGTGTTATTCAGTACAAAACCCTTTTTTTTCTCAACTTGCTGGGAAATTTGTATAAATTGAGCAAAGTGCACGCTGTTTGCTCGGCCATATATTATATCCTTCGCCAAGGGAGTTATTGGCAAGTATATGAGCTTTATGCGGCACAACCTCTCCACGAGTAAAGACCCTGGGTACGAGGTTTTATGCGGCACACATCCTTCTAGGAAAAATGGGAAATATTCAATCGGACACGAGTCGAGGCTAAGGGACAAAATATAAAAGCTTTATTCAATATTCAGAAAGCAAATGTATCTACATGAATGCTCATAGCGAGATTATCAGACACACAGAAGTGCAAAATAGCTAAAATTAAGTCTAGAATTCGCAGGCAGACCTGAATTGATACGATGACTTATGGTTTTATGCTTCAGTTCTAATAAACTTTTGTAATATTTGGCAATGATTCTGAGAAGACGTATTTGGCAAAGCACAAAATGTAACATTTTGGCCCTTAGAGTTTATGTTTGCCGCATTAATTTCATGCTTCAAGCGCTACAAGGGCTTGTGTAAATAAATCCTTTAATCACTGAAGGTAAAATAATAAATACGTGACATAGCTTGCTTTTCAAGTCATTGCAAAAACATCCAATGTGATTAGACGTTTAAAAGTTTTGAATAAAAGTGCTATAGAAAGTTTAGGGCTTGGTGGATTTATATTAGAATATATACTGAATGTTTTGACTTGAAATATTTCTTAGGTTTCGATCTAAAATTCAGCTCGGCCCTCGCTATTCCGCATTGGTTCGGGCGAAACAAACTCTCTTTTCTATTAGAATTTGAATAAGAAATGCCTGATAAACACAAGACACTCTCGACATGTCGATGTAAGGACCATTGTCAGACGAGTCAGAATGACGGAGACCCTTGAGTCGAAAAATCAAGATTTTTTCCTCGCCTATTTTAGGCAGTTGTTATGGTCCTGGGTTGTTATGGATTGCAAATAGTCGAAAGTAAGTGCGCTTTGAATTGAATACCTTTCAAATTCCCAAACAGATCTTGAACCCGGAAATAGGGGGGAATGTATCATCAGGTGGCGAAATATGGAAAATATATACGTTCGATTTATGGTGTTCTTTTTCTATTATTTCTGATGAGATGTATCAATTACTAATTCGATACTAATTTTCCGGGTCAAAACGAAATTAAAGATGGACGAATGTGAAATAAGTAAAAACACATTTTCCGAAGGTAAAACGCGATGCATGATTACATTCTTTGATCAAATTTAGTGTTATATTTATAACAATGACACACCAGTATATAAAAGATGATGAAAATTCCTTTACTGATGGGCTAATAGCTCGCTGACTCGCACAGCACTTGTGGCTGAGAGCTAATATGAGCCACAGGGATTCCGCAGTTCGACTTTAATTGAATTCGATCGGGTTTTGGATAATTTGCTGCCACAGTATGACCACAGATATGACTAATCCATGTGTGATTATAAAACAGTAATGCGCACTGGGTGTGCAGTTACAAAGTCAATAATAGTCATCTTGCATTGATCGTACAGGAAAGAACGGTATATGCACATTTTTTAGAATGCGGTTGTATGCACTTTTTTAGAATTCGCAACTATGTTCAAACAGGTTGAAAATATGTTGTTAAAGTGGATTTGAAGTGAAACAAAAAATGTCCTTGTGAAATTTGCTACAACTATAAAAGGTCAAAATATTTTTCGGCGACCATGATATTACAAGACAAGTGTCCATTAACATTACGTAGATGTGATCCAACGTGGATCCAGTTTCACATTGTTGTATTAGGTCCAATGCCAAGATAAATGATATATCAGTAGATTCCGAAAAGAATTTAATTCGTCGTCTTGATGTATAGCCGCGAGTGACAATCAAATAGGCTAATTATCAGGCTGACGAAAGCCATTATAGTTTCCGAAAACGTCGAGGGGTTATTGTCTGGTGTATTTTAGGTATAATTAATGAAAATATTCTATTCTTTCAATATTTAAGGACGCTGCCACGTTACGACCTCCTGGCCTTATCAGACAAAGGCATATGTTTCTTGGACGCTATTGTCTTATGTCATTTCCGGTCTAGCGAAGCCATCTTGCATGAGGCATCGTTTTCACTATTGTCACAAAATCAACCCACCAAAGTGTGATCGCCCTCACATTCCGGGTTCGAAGGATATTTGTTAAAAACTGAACATAGAACCTGCCCCTTCAATTCCATATAACTCAGCACTTAGGCGACCTAAAAAATTCTTGAGGAAGGACCTAATGGTATTTATATAGAGCAAATTAAGTCTTTGGAGAGGAATGAAGTATGAAATTAGAGTGCTGGCCGGCCCACTTCACTTCAAAACTAGCCTTAAGGGAATTCCATTGTTTCTCTATATGTATTTGGTCCACTTGGTAGGACGGCGTGAAGGGAACCTGACCAGGCGTATTTTCGACTATATTGATTTTGTATGCATGTATACTTTATCATGCAAGAATAATACGACAAACATTGTCAACCATTATTTGCTCATATGAAATCGCATAAACTCGATAGAATCGCAAACGGTTCTATTATACCTACTGGGCCAGTTGGGCCACGTTTTTGTGATCCCAGTTTAGAAATTCGTATTGGCGAATCTCTAGATTTATAATAGATATCAGACATGGGTGAAGTAAGGGCCGTTCACAAAATACGTGACGCACTAAGGGGTAGGATTAGGTTTAAAACAGTGTCACGCTCGTTACAGAAATCCGGCGAAGGAGAGCAAGGTGACACATGCTAGGGACATTGTCACGCGCTAGAAGGTTAATGCTACATGGAATGTTGACAAAAGGAAGGAAGTTGATTAGGTTGCGATCATCGTGTAAAAGAATACATTACCCTAAAAACACAAAGTGACCGCAGCTCATATTTTCTACTGAGGTGAAATTAGTCGCGCAGCAAAAAATGCAATAAAAATGCTACTTGTAACATGTTTCTATACTTCGCCTGAAGAAATTCGCCTAGTTGAAAACAGGCTATTTAGAACAGACAGGTAAATCTAGCTTGTTGTAACTAAAATATTCGGGAGTTGCATGCGATCCAGCTGTCGTGGGGTTTATCGAGAGTTATATGCGATCCAGCTTCACGTCGTTTTTGTCGTGGGTTTATTGGTAATCGTCAGATAACGTTGCAGAGGGAGCATAGGAAGTTTTGCATGTCGAAGGATGCAGCATGCAGTGAGCGTATTTTTGAAAATAAAATTATCTCCCTAAATGTATATTGCATGTGTGTTCTCATTTTGTTCCCACTTTGTTTGGTAGAAACGTTTCACACTCGGTTATGCCGGCTGCACACGCTGTGTACATATATAGTAGGAGTTTTATTTATACAAAGGGTGTAGCATCATACAGTCAAGCGAGAAGATTCTACAGAACAAAGTAGGGGGATACAATGCGAACACACAATGTACATTTACAAAGATAAATTTAATTAACTTAAAAATGTCAGAATAGCAGTGAAATTTTGACTAATAAACAAATCTTTAGTAATACTAAAAGTATACTATAAAAATAATACTCGAACCACACGTGCCTAGGCTTCCTGTGACATTTCCTGCAAACTCTTTAAAGCTTTTAGAGTTAAATATTGTGGCCAAATTTATGTGGTCAAACGTAAATTTTGGCTGCGTATACTAAGGTGTACAGAAACATATTAAATTTGCCAGAATCGTCCATACGAAATCGATATTTTTTAGCTGAACACGAGTTCCATGCAAGTTGGTTCTTGTGAAAATTCGAGGAGACTGACCCAAGAGGAAACTGTAGTCCAGATCATGAATCCACATCTTTGCCGGCTAACAACAGACTGCTTTTGGCATGACAAGAAATCGTGAAGCATGACAGACGATTATCAAAACACGCCATTAGCACGATATTTAAGAGGCTTAGCTTGCTTCCTGAGAAATTAAGAAACGTGCGTTCCACATGCTAGAAATAAAGGTCATATCGATACAAACAAATAATAATGAGATGTTTCGGTTATTCGATCATATTCCCCGACGTGGCAGCCAATCCCCTGAGCGAAAGGTCTGGAAAGCATCGCATGTTTTGTCAGTTTCAAGTGCAAAACAAACTTTCTCCAAAATGCAAAGCCAAAAGGTAGGCGGACTCGTAATGAATATATATTTGCTGAAAGCCTGAATGCATTTGTCTCAGTTTGAAATATAATATACAGGAAGCAAATCATTTAGATTTTGGCTTGAACTATTAGTTCTTATATGTATATACATGCAATTATATATTTATATTACGTAAGCAGGTATATATAGATATACATGTATATTTACTGAATTTATACGGATAAAGTTCTGTTGTTTCAAAGATAAACCGTATATAATGCCGAGAAAATGAAACTTGTTTATCAATATGTATATAAAATGTATTGACAATGGCTTGAAGCAAAATCTAGCACATGCTCACATTCTATATTGCTAAATGTTTATGCACTTCAACTGAGATACAAAAGATTTAGCGAATATTATTTAAAATGTAGTTCAGATAGTTGAATTTAGATATACAAGTTCATATCCGCTGGACTTGGCTGTTTTATTTTATGTCCGAATTCCTAGGAAATGTTATTATTATATTCTCGACCAAATTTGGAAGCACTGAATAAATTCGATATAACATGTATACTGAGTTAGTATATATTATATACCGTCTGGACTCAAAACAACATTCCACGTTTTACCACAATGAAACACTCTACCGAAAGCGAAAATATTTTAAGACGCTTCTTAATAAGGAAGGCACTCAAGGAGTATCACTCTTCGTAAAACTATGAGCATTATATCGTATACCGTGTGTATTATTTTCATAAGAAGTACTGTGTATTAAAATTCAATACCTTCAGTTTAATAAGAAACCCCTACAGGGAAAATATTTTCCACTCGACTACCCGATGGAGAACTACATTTAACAAGTAGATTGACGACAAATTGAAAATAATTTGAAGATGCTTAGATGTAGACAATTACTGCTTGTTTTCATTTCTGCATTAATTTTAATATTATATGGTATACACCGACTACAGGTTGTATATTTTTGTTTTACTTGGAATAAGATGTAATATTTGTTATTTGACCTACCTGCCCTGCAGTATCGCAGAATTGTACAGTACACGGCACTTTATTCACCGATACAGACACTATAGAAAATAAGATCAAAATATCATATAGAAATCACATCCGCCGCCATAGGGGAACACGGCTAAGCTCAGATTCAACACAATAATCCTTATTCCATAGTTTATATAAGTTCTGCAGGCCTACCTGTGTAGTTGTCGAATGCGGTTGGTGCATATTCGTTTGGAAAATCGTTGGTTAAATAGCTTAGCAAGAGCGACGTTTTCCCAACGGCACCGTCACCAAGAACGACGATTTTTATATTTCGCTTATTCTCCATACCATCGTTCGAAGGTGGTCAAATCATCGCGGCTGACCTTCGCTCTTTGTTTGGGTTGAATTAAGCAAGGGTCGAACGGAAGGCGGTTTGTGTCGCAGTCTCCTCTTGTTTGCTCACCAGCTCAGATGATCAAATCAATACCGGAAATGGCGTCGAACGCTCCGTCGTGATTGGTCGAAGGTGACGTCCCCTTTTGTGTGGGGTCTTGCGAGATTTTTATCTACGCTAGGTGTTAATTTGAGCAAAACAAATAGTTTACACGCGAAGTATTAGCTTAAGAACATACAGCTTCTTTTAATCTTGATACGTACAATGGCGGCATTAAAAGAAATGTACTGTACGGTAAAAGGCCCTGATTATGTGAAAATGAAAACGTCTTACATAACACGGGGGATTTGTCAATCAATATGACAATATATTGCCAACGGAAAGAAACGTTTATATATTTTTGACAAGACAATATATTACCGGTATTCAAAAGAACTCTTTCTTTAATGAATACTGAATTTAATTTATAAAATATAAGCGGTTATAACTTATAAGACTTTGAAGTCCAGTTCAATCTGAATACTAAAGTAAATGCTTTCAACTCATGAATGCTCAATTTTGTTGCCCAATGTTGAAGTTTGTTTGCGCTTGTTTGTTTTTTTAATATGGCATGATATGTAGACTATGATATATAGTATATGTCAGTCAGGAAATATGTATACGGAATCAAATGGTGCTACGGCCTTTGTGTAACTACGATTAATGACCAAGTATTTTGGTTATACATTTGAACGACGAAAAAAATGAAATGATATGTAATTAGAAAAAGATATGTCTGTTTGAATAGTTTATATTTGTAGAAGCGATCATGTAAGTCGTCTGCAAAATACCCTTGACACTGTCAGACTATCTTATTCAAAAATGTCAGGACAATACTTGTCGAAAAATCTGATGCAAACCTTTGTTGATTACTATATTGAACACCTGCCTTTTACAACGTGTTTTTCATATTTTCAGTTTCCCTTAAAAGGGCCGTTTTGGAGTGCGTGATTCCTTTCGGGCTGGTGACAGGTTTAAAAGTTTCATATCAACACAGATTTAATTTTGATATCATTCGTGACAAATATACTAATCAATATTTATCAAAACTGAAATCTCAGAATTCGCAGTAATTCATTGAAGATGCGTGCATTTGTTCCGTCGGCCTCATTCTCATTAATAAAGTGTCTGCCTGTCACGATGAATGTTAGGTCAATCCAATTCTATAGAATTTCTTCACTCTTTTTGTATATAAGCAACCGAATTATGTAATTATTGTTCTAGTCAGTTCAGTCTAGAAAGATTTGAGATTTTACAATTGACATATCCGCATAAAAACGGCTAGCTAGCTTGCTAATACCTAATTGGAGCTAGATCAGGTTTATTATACATATAATTATAACCCGAATTTTCGAAATTAAAAAATTAAAACTCCCCTTATCTTCGAAAAGAGCCTTCAAGTTCAGCGTTGCAGTGCATTTGTTTTAGGCTAGCGGAACTAATTGAAGTTCCATAACACATCAATATATATAGTTTCAATCAATAATATGACATAAAGTGTCGTAACACGTCAATAGTTTCAATCAATAATTTTTATACTTGATAGTATGTATATAGCATGCAATGGTAATACATAATTTGCAATCCGTAATATATATATATATATATATATATATATATATATATATATATATATATATATATTTTGTTATACCAAAATATCATTGAATGTTCCTAGCTACTCTGAGATATATATAAACAATTAAGCTATACTTATAATGCTATGATTTGTAGATATAGTATATCGTTGCCGATCGATGCAGGGCAGGTACTTCTTACTCCTATAGGCGAACGCCGGTGTCGCTACATGTACATGTTTGAGATCACGAGTGGAAGATCAACAGGAAGAGCCAGATTCAGTGCGTAGGAGCGGGTGGTCTAAAGATAAAAGAGGAAGAGCTAAGATGTAGTAAATTATGCGTTTGCTGTGAAGAGGCAGTTACCGGGGTTACCTTGAAAGAAGCAGTGGGCATGGGTGTCATGTTGAAAAGCACGAGTGATTTTGTATTTGTCGTTGTAGTGTATTTGTCTACAATTTGTCCCAATGCCAAATCATGTCTTCGGTTGTCAACTAGAACACACGTCCAAGTAATGTTATCGGAGTATCTGCATGTCAGGGCATGATATATTTAAGTGTGAATGGCATTTCGAAGTTGCTGTTTCCTTGTTTTCCTATACTAGGTCATTAGTTTATAATTTTAATTTTCAGTTGGTTAAGTGATGAAAGTGTCATCACGATAACTTTCGCTTTAGTAAATTTTGTTTTTCCGCGCAAACATACATATGCCTTATGCTTTTTTATTAGAAAATAATGATATGAAAGTAATGATTGAACAAAAATTCAATCAGAAAGGATTATAAAGTCTTTCCAATCGCTTTATTCTTCCGGGATGAGTCTTGTTTCATGATTGCGTGCATGGGAGCCAAGCCAAATTTTCGACAACGATTCAGTGAGGTCTCGTATCGCAGAATGAGATTAGAATCGAATTTAATCTGGACGAGTTGTAACTCATTCAGGACTCAAGTAAAAAATGAATATAAGTTTATTAGTACGGTTTGAAAGCTCGGATTTTATGGTATAATAAAGCTCCGAATCTTAATTCTTCAGATCAGCAATCGTTCTGACAGGTGGCAAGAATCTTCTGCGATTGCTAACTTTTTGAATCTCGATTGCTTGTTTTTTTCCACAAAAAGCCGTGAATTCATTCTCCGAGTGCTTTCGCATTCCTTGTATATAACGTCTTTTTCGTTGGATATCAAATGCCAATTGAGGAAGAACCGAACCAGACCTCAAGAGTAAAAGATGGAGTCGCAAATCATACGGAAATGAGCCCTCCCATAAAGCAATATCCTATACTTGACACGCTGGAAATTTTGGACATAATGAATCTTCGGAACATCTGCACAATATAAATAATTAAATTGTTTGTCAGTTGTGTTTAGAAGAAAAAGATTGAAGCATTTCAGATATTTTTCGACTTTTGTAATATACTTTGGTAATATAAACTCCTGTCGAAGGATGTCCTGTGTTGAAAAGTCGAGAGGTTTTTCTGTATATTTTGGGCAGTGCAAGAACCCATTGTCCGGTTGTTACTTGAAGGGGTTTATTTGCGCTGCAAACTGATTTTACTGGCGTGATTCTAAGGGAGTGTATTGGCCAACCATAGTGTCTTTATGGTGAAAATATAAAGACCTTCCTGTGATACTCCAGTTTCGTTTCAGTCCATAGTCAATGGCTTTGCGCACGAGTTACAAGAGCACTTACGAAATAGGTTTAATCCTTTCAACGCGTCGCCAATTATTTCTCTCTGTTCACTTTGAGCATACGATTAAACACTGATTAAACACTGACGTAGTTGAAGTGGGCCGGCCCTTTCAGTAAGTGCGACAACGAATGAAAGCCAATATAATATTAATTTGAAAGGGGAGTGTTTCACCTTTGACTTTGTCACAATGTAGCATGGAACTTTCATATAAAACTTATCTGCAGTATGCAGTAGATACATGATGCAGTTTGTATATAATAAAAAATTTACCTTTATAAAAACTCTTCCCAATTGTGGAAATGACAGGGTCATAAATTAATGAAATTAATTTAATGGCTGGTGTTGTCAGGACAACGATGTTTAAGCGCTGTTCTCCCGAGCTAGGATGGGACCTTGGGTGTAAGCTAAAAATTTTTGAGGAATAACAAAATTCTTTGAATCGTTGATTGCATTATATCAGTCCACTATGTAGAAAAACAAGGTCAAAGTTAAATTTAAGTAAACCGTTGTTTATAAGATATGGTTCGCTACTTCGGCATGTTATCAAGATTAATGTGCATTGGAATACAGTTCCACATCGATTGATAATTTCATACGTTGCAGGGATTTCTTTGGGAAATCAAATATTTGCTGGCGGCATGAACATGAGTTGACATTTGTTTGCTTATTTTTTAACCACTGATTGGATAGTAAAAAATAACGACTACATCGCATCAAAAACTAAAAAATATTGCCGTATTTTGATATGTTCGTTTGTAAGAACTGTTAGCAAAATTATCAGAGATTATTTCACTATATTTTAGTCAATATAACTGAGGTATTTTGTCATTGTATAAACGGTAAGTTTTTATATATTGTTAATACTAGTCTTTGTTGCAAATTGCCGAAAAATTTCTCGCGTTCAAATTATCACGCAAATTTTGGCTGCCTATGTAATTGAAAGTGTAATTGGAAAAAGACGGGAACCGCGCATCCAGAAAGACTAGAAAGAGTCTCGAAAGAATGAGATTTGAGATTTCATCGAAGGCTAGTTTAGACTTTCAAGAATTGAATTAGCTTAAAAAATCTATTTTTTATTCAAAGGATTCGATTCAGAGCAACGGTCGGTGATTTTTTTCGAAGATCTTGCTATTCGAGACCTAGTTATAGTGAATATTTGCGAGATTGACATTGTTGTGTTCCAGAAAAAGCGAATATATATTAACGCTCCGAAGCGCATGTAGCTTCTTTTGACTTCAAAACAACTTCTCTGAAGAAACATTTTTTAGTTTGAATAAAAAACTGTTTGGTGGCAAAATCCAAGTAAGTCGATATGAGCTTTTATTCTTAGTACTGTTTTAATCTATGGCTCCTTTAAAAAGAGAGAATATATTATATATATCGTGTTGTATTTTTTTATGACTAATGGCGGCTTTAAGTTTGTTTTCAAAGATGGCACTCAACCAAGTTATCGTTCCAGTTAACTTATGAAGTCACTCACTTTACGTTCAACACTTTTTTACAACTGACACTTTTTAGCTGTGCTGTTTGCAAAACTATTATGTAAATTTGCTTTTTTGCATGGAATAAACACATGTTTCCATTGAAATTGTCAGGTAAGAAATTAAATGCATTTTTTCAAAGAATAAAGTTATCTCAAAGCATGATTTTTTACATAGTAAAACATCTGTTGGTTTTTTTCCAAATTCAATGATAAAAATCTAATTTTATAGCAATAACTTCTTCAGTTTTTACATAACAGAGAATCAAACAGAATCAAAATCAGAAAATCAAATCAAACAAACTAATTGTTGAAATGGGTGGTACCTTAGAATATATAATGAAGGAATCATCTATTTTGAAAATCTTTCTGTCGGCATCTAACAAAATCGTATTGAATTGCGATAGTTTTGTTTGGAAAATTACAACTCTATTTAATTACAATTTATATTACTCTAAATTACATATCTACATAATATATTATCTACAATTCTAATGAACAAGTTAGTTGTGCTTAAATTGATATTTAAGATTAGACATTTCACTTTAATTATGTCATTACTGCTTGTTGATTAGGCATATTATTGTCAACATATTCAGAATTTACTATAGCCAACTCATCTTCATCAAGGAGGCACTCAACCTCTTGTGTGGTTTTGGCCTGTTTTGGAGATAAATGGTTATATAATACAACACAACAACAACTTGGTTTTGCAATCTCATCGTCCCAATCCGTCCGATTGTTGTTTGTCTGGTGTGAAGATGCAGTCCTGGTATCATCATCCATCATAGTGCTCATCTGGCTTTCTCTTGCTTCAGTCAAAGCAGACACAATGTTTTTGCTTGTTATGTTTGAGGGATTTTTTATCTGATGCAACTTTTTCTCTGCAAATGTTATATGATGTTAAACATTTTTAGCTGTTGAAAGATGTTTCATTTAAGCTTCATAAACCTTGTCATTAAGATTTCATTGTACTAAAATAATTGTGAATACTAAAGCGAAAGGATACAAGCACTCATGCACACTTAAAATGTCACTTTATTAAGTTTATTTGATACAACCCTGACCACCCAAATAAATACCTAAACGATCAATGTATTTTTCTGAGTTCATACTATTGTCCTGGCTGGGTGGCTGTGGCAGTAATGGTACATCACAGTTTTCCTCGAACGATACCCATTGATCTCGAGTGGAACTGTTACCATTTGCTGACATTTCATCACCTACGCTGTCTTCTGTCGATTCTGCCGCCATATTGAATACGAGCAGACTCACAACACCAGCCAGCGTAATCAGTTGAAAACTTCATGAAACACTTCTCAAAGGAAGGAAAGGAAACTACATTCAAATTCATGGACCATGTTTGTGATTTTAAAAAGGAAGTGCTTTGCTGTTAGAATTGGAAAGTAATTCCTTGAATATCGATCAGAGGATGAAATTAAAACAATTGGAGGGACTTCTGCAAAATTTTGATGTGTTTGAGAAACCCAAAGTTCATCTGGAACAGTACCCAACAACACCTCATATTGCTTCACACATGTTATATACCATTGACCAAACATTTGATGACATTCAAGGGGGCACTGTTGCTGACCTTGGCTGTGGCTGTGGTATTCTAAGTGTAGGTGCAGCAATTCTTGGCAGTGACTATGTTGTAGGTTTTGATATAGATGCGGATGCTTTGGAAGTTGCAAAGAAGAATTTGGAAGAATGTGATGTTGATGTAGTGGAGTTTATTCAATGTAATGTTGCTGATATTAATTCAGCGATGATGAGAAATGGCTTCTTTGATACAGTTATTATGAATCCACCGTTTGGTACCAAAAATAATGCTGGTATGTGTATACTTAACCCCCCCAAAAAAATATAACCAAGAGCATAATTATCACCACTATAACACCATCATAACCAGTAATGTAATCAATATGAATTGCAAATATAATTACCATTAAGAATATATGCCCTAACACTAATATTCTTATTAAGTGGTTATCACAATTAAATACACCGTAAAAACCACCAATATTTTCATATATTAGACATAATCAAAAATGATTTCTATTATTAAATGCCAATCTCATCATCATCAATGATTACCATCAAAGGTCATATCTTCTCGAGAATCCTCATGCTGTAATAGTTATCATAATCATTAGTATGATAACATCAGTATGATGATCATACATTTAATCATCATATTAGTACCATGGTACCTGCCAAATAGTCTAGTTATTGATTAATATTGATCACTATCATGATTAATGATAACCATAATCATTATTGTTGTTCAAAAGATCAATACTATCACAGAAAGTCTGAACTATAACTAACTTATGTTATTATTAAAGAAATATGAACAATATTTTGCTCAGGTATTGATGTGATGTTCTTAGAGAAAGCAATACATATGGCAAACCAAACAGTGTATTCATTACACAAAACCTCAACCAGACATCACATAGACAAAAAAGCAAAACAAAACAATGTAGATATGGAAGTGGTTGCTGAACTTAAATTTAACTTGGATGCCTCTCTCAAGTTTCATCGACGTAAATCAGTGGATATTGAAGTTGATTTTATAAGATTTGATGTTAGTGGAAGGTAACTCGCAATTATTTAAAAAAAATATGGCAACTGTGAATTAACAGTCAGTCATCTTTTTTTGCGAATTTCCCGCTTCTCTCCAATCTCAATTCAACCTCTAAAGTTCATACACATAAAATTTAAATGTTTTGTAATTAAATGGAATTCAATCGGAATGTCTTATAAAAAAGAATCTTCTTGAATTACCATAACTTTGCTGTTCAATTATTAATTTGTTCGGTATTGTAACCGGGTTATTGTAATCAAATTCTTAGAAGAAAGTGCATGGCCAACGAAACGTTTTTAAAAAAGCTAAAAGTGATGACACATTTAGAATACAGTAACGCGAGAGGTCAAGACGAAACGTCACTGTCTTTTCAATAAATATGCCCATAAACAATGCTGTGGTAGTTATGCACTCAGTCTTTTTGTCTGGTCAATAAATTGCATATTATTGAATAAAAGAGGAGTGTGGCCTTCTATAAATAGAACGGACATGACAGACAGCCTTTGCTGAGAATGAGTAGCCGTATGTTAACAACTAAAGGCTGTAACAGACTTTGATCGGTGTACATAAGAATTATGTATGATCAATGATCCTATTTTTAACATCAGAGAAGTCGGAGTATTATGGAAATTATGGAAATCTTCCACATATGGAAATCTTCCCTAGTTTTCCTTTCATCTCGATATGCACAGATCTTCAACAAAAACATGCAGAAACTCATTAAAATAACCAGTTAAATTCGATGGGAGCCATTTAGCTGTAACAAGAACTAAAATAAGGCACGATGCCGATGGGATCCAACAGTCACTACAACGGCAACACTCACTGGTAGCTTTGTAGTTCAGTAAATCTCATCCAGCATAAATAAGTATTTATTTATTTCTATTTTAAAATGTGTATCTAAAAATAACGTGAACCTCCTTTTTCATTTATATATCTTTTCAGATTATCATTTCTGCTGAATATCATTAAATTCCATTGTAAGAATATAATACATGTTTCGTTATTAGGTCTGTTTCAATGACTTTTTCACAAACAAGTGTTAATCAAATATATGCATTTGATTGAAACGTCATCTTACACCATTTTGCTTGTTCCTTTTGAGCTACAGCCTTTCTCTCGCTGTGGCTCATTGAACGTCTACATTCTTGCCTTTTTACTTCCCCGTTGTTTCTTGTTTTTCTTTTCTTTTTACTGCTAGATTCAGTAGAACAGTCTTCTCTTTTTTGCTGTAGTTTTGGCAGACGAAAATGATCGTCTTTCGCTAAAAGTCTATCTGTGTTCGTCGTTAACAACGAGCTGCGTTCGTCTATTCGCGGTAGCATGCCTAGTTCTCGTGGCTTTCCTTTGAGCAGCCTTCTTTCGGGGTTCCCACGACCAATCCCGATCAAACTTCGTTCAAAATCGGCTGCATCTCGTCGGAAATTATCGATGTACTCCTGCGCTGGGAGTTTTGGAAGTTCTGTATTCTTTCCCGAAAATTCCAGCTTCGCACTCGCATCTTCGACGTCTGTTGCTGTTGTCGGCCCGGATTTTAATTTTGGCAACCTAAACTGAGTTTGCGACAGATCATAATTCGATTCCTGACTCTCTATGCTTGGTTTCTCCCCGAGACTATTGGGTGTATCTCCTGTTTCTTCATTCGACATTTGCGAACTTTTGGTCTGCCCGTACTTTCCTTTTGATTTAATCTTCACCTTGCTGTAATCTTTGCCAATGTCGTAGCCGGATTGATACTTACGAACGGCCTGATACTTGCCGAAATAACCAAACGGATATGCCAACTCTTCTGCAAACACTACCAGGGGTCCTTCGTCGCTACGGTGCTCAAATTTACTTAGCTTTATGCTTTTCGTTTGCGTTGGAAGTATAGTTTGTTTGCCTTTCGCAATCGCCAATTTGACACGCTCCCTTCGCCTTCTCTCTTCCTCCAGAAGTCGCGAGCGGGCTGTGTCCATCGGTAACGTGCACTTTTTCACCATCTTCCCATCAGTGTTCAGTGTACAACGTCAGTACATTCTGTTTGGAGCTATTTTTTTACTGTTTAGTGTTCGGTCCTCTCTTATCGCACAATGGTCGTAATCATTTGGCTGTAAGCCGATATTTGAACTGCAGTCTGAATTTAAATCACTTTAAGGGTTAATATCAACGGCGGCGTGTTTACCAAACCTGTAGTTTCGCCAACCGATGGGTATTTCACTGATGTTGAGTTATGTGGATCAAATCATGTTAGATATCAGAGTCTTGCACGATGTTTCAGCAGATTTTATTTGTGTCTTCCGTATACCATCAGAGATCTACAACTAAAGTACGGAATATGAGTACATTTGCTATTGGTTTGAGAGGCAACATGATTTTAAATTATTCATAGCTAAAAAGTTCCGTTCTGTTAATCAACTAGCAAACAAACGAATTTAAAACTGTCACTTTAAATGCGGTGATTAGCTGGAAACGAGTAAGTAATAAACAGTTTGTTTGCTATGTTTTAACTATCGCCAAATGATTTGTTTATTTTGGCTATGTCTATGATTAATGTTGTTTCAGCATAACAAGAAGAATAGACTGCGCTAATGTCATTGACGTTGCCATTCATTCTTTACATGCAATTTCTTTCTCAAAAGTGCAATTGAACAATATTGCCGAAAAACAAACTGCCTTATGTGGATTCATTTCCTTCCTGTTGGTCATTTTGTTTTCGATGGATGTTGTGGCCGACCTACGAAACTGCCTTTTTTCTTGACTATTTTTAGAAGTGAGAGTCTGAGAAAGATGTAAAAGCGCTGTCTAATTTCATTTTACGTGATACTCTTCTGCGCTTATTCTGATTTAAAAGCATCAAGAGAGTCGTTCACTTCCTACCTTCGGCTTCCATATGTATTGAAGTGCTTCAGAGTACTTCGAAAAAAATACTTTAATCATAATTGCTGAAAATTCCAATACTAATTCACAATTAATTGTGATGTCATAGTTAAATTTGGAATATGAAAGTGAGAGGAGACCGCCTCTCCCCACCCCCTCGCTCTTAATTGAAAAAAAATTGCGTTCCTTAGCCTGCGATCGGGCACTTAACAAACATGGCGGCGTCCATTACAAAACTGCGCACAATTCTGCAAGTGCCAGCGCTTGCTCAAAGCTCAGTTTTGGCTCCACGCTTCGCAGCGTTAGGCAGACACGATCCTACATTAAAGAAAAAGAAGACACACAAAATTGATACAAAAAAGAAGCAGAAAAAATCATCTAATATTTCAAAAAAGCCTGTGGAAGTTTTCCCACCCGTGGACCCCGAGGCTTTCATTGATAGGTAAGGTTGTGCAGAGTGTACACACCCCAACCACTGTTTAATTTTTTGGAAATTATCAGCTTCGAGGCAAACTATGAAATTTAACACATTATCTTTAAAGACATGTCTGTTATCATACAAATATCATACATACATCCGCACAGGGTTGCGAGTGGGTTAATATTTGATATAGCATGGTTCAGTGACCTCAACCCATATGGTGGAACACTGATCAGCCTTTTACAGTCTGCATAAATTATCACAGGCCATCAATGCTCTTTACCGCTCATATTTTCTGCTCATCACAAAAACCTACTTTTGTAACAAGGCTTGCAACCAAATTTATAATTAAGTGTTTTATTTGGATGAAGACCTGTGCAGGAAGCTTGTCATTGCAATCAGTGAAAAGAGCCTTCTGGCCTGTGAACAATTGTGAAATTTTATACTAGGAAGGTTAATTAAGTATGCTAACTACATCTGCAAACCATTTTGTCAGGAGCTTGCTGCAGAAGGACAGGGTAAGAAATGTGCCAGAAGTTGATGAACAGGAGAAGGAAAGAAGGGTGTTATTGCTAAAGGAATGGTCTAAATATAGAAACCAACAACAAAGGGAAGAGTTACGAAAACTAAAAGATGTTATTTTGTCAAGAGAACTGGCATTACGAGAACTGAAAAAGGTTTCACCTTGGCATTACGAAGAGGCTGTCAAAACTGATGATTCATTGTTTCCACTACACTTGCAAGGACCAACTGAGACACCACCGATATCTGGTTATATTGCTCCAGACATTATTGATGAAAAATAGCCTAACTATTATCTCTACCACTGAGATGATTAATCATTGGTTTGCTGTACATTGTATTATATAGTCAGTGAAATGTATGAACAAATGAAAGTGCGATTTATTATTGTTATAAGTAAGTAATATGAGACCTTCAAAATTTCAATTTTAAATATCCTCTTAGCCTCTTATATTGAAATTTTGATGATTGGTGCCTTTGACACCTCATACGCAGTGCATTGCTGCAAGCTCACTAAATTAGCCATTAGTTAAATAAGTTGAAAAAATATGATAGCTTGCTGTGAACAACATGCCAATCTTTCTATTATTTCTATTTCCGGACTGGTTTATAGGGTGATGTTGTATGATCTTCATACTCTCCTCTACCATGTCCTTCCCTAGAAAATCAACATGCCATTGAAATTGTCCAAAACAACACAATAAAATTTAGAGGGAATATTTAATTAAACACACCTGAAACAACGTTTGCAGTACAAATCATCATCACATCCATGGCAACGCAAGCAGGCATCTTCATTGCAAATACAACACCAAGGTAGCTCATCTGGATCTGTAGGCATTTCATGTTCCTATAAAAATAAACGATAGAATTGTCTTTTCATTAGTTCATTGAGTTCTAAATCGACTGTTTTAATCAGTTCTATTTAAAATCTAGGTCATCTCGAGTTACTTATATTACCTTTGAAGCAATTTTATGTTCAGCTCGATCAAGTAGTTCTCCTTGAAAGTTGATGCAAAAGGTTAGAAAACGAACTAAAGGTTTAATTGGCCTGGGGAACCTTTAAAAATCTAAAATTGGTGGACAAAACCACATAGTTATAGCCCAAGGGTATATTAAAAAGAAAAAAGCAATATAAGAATATAAGTCGTCTTTGATCACGTTTGTTCAATCTGATTGGATGAACCATTTTTTTTATTAGCGAAAGTTTGTCTTTCATGGATTTTGATTGGACGAACGATTTTTTGACGGGTTGGCATTTTTGCGGCAAGGTAATTTCTATACACTTTTTTCAAGATGGCGGAAAGGTATGGGTGAGCAATTCAAAAAATAATACCACGTTTCGGGATCATATCTCCTTCGACAAATGGTAAAATCTTTTGGTTGTTTAATATAATTTAATGCAAAATGTGTACGAAAGAGCTAACGTATGGACCAAATCTTTTCGAAGGAAAGGTGAACTAAAACTTCAAGTACACCTACCATGTCCTTGTTGCCGAACTTTGTCATCCAAAAACGACTCAGCGATTGCCTGTTTAAATACAACATTGCCGCCTAAAGGTACATCTTTTACAGGGCAATCTTTTATATTTTACAGATTAATCAAAATGAACAGTTTTTCTACTTTAATATATGTTTTAAAACAATTCATCTCATTCTATTTTTACCTGTTGAATGTATCTTTTACGAAATTCTGCCTCGTCGTCACTGTCATATGCGTTGGTAGGTGGACCTTTACAATATTTGCAATAGAATACAAGTAAAAATCACAATTATTTTCAACGTTGACCACGTAATTCGCTTTCATCTCATTGTGAAAACTAACCAGACGGTTTTGGTCTCGGTTCTCGTCCTTTAAGTTTATCCAATCTTCCTTCGATGTCTTCAGTGTTTATTCCCGAGTTTCCATCACTTGGTTTATAACCTGCCCTGTCGTCAATGTTACATTCATCTTGCATTTGTTTTAATAAATCTGACATCTCTTCAGCATCTGTCTTCTTTGGACCAAACGTGTGTACCTTAACAAAAAATTGCTGTTCTGCTTCTGATGTTTTATTAACTTGAATATTTGAAAAATAGATCAGGCTATTTAGTTTCTTTGCATTTAAACTTTGTTTTAATAAGTCCAATTACTCACATCATTTGTTTTGGCAGAACTTGGAGCTCTACCAGTGAGATTTTCAAACTTTGAATGAACATCAGCGACATCAGCCTCGCTAATTGCATCATCTGCAGAAAAAGAAGTTAACATTGAACTCCATGACATTAAAATTAAAATAATTCAAAGGCAGACGTAACACTATATCATGTGAAGGCGTACCACGTTCTTTGAGTTTCTTTAAACGTCTTTGAATATCTTCATCTGGATCAAATGTTGATCCATCCACATCTAATGGTTTTGTTGAGGATTCCAGGTTTTGTGTAGTTTGCTAGAAATAAGTCACAAATCCTTCTTCATATAGTTATTATAGATCTCATTGAACTGATGAAATGATAGTTGTTCGGTGTGCACATACATTGCTAAATGGCCATTAACTACAAATATTGGTACATTGCCAGCTATTAAATTGGTATATTTACCAGTTATATATAAACTATTGCAATATAATTCACCTTTGAAGAAGGGATTTGGGTAATTCCATGTTGGGTTTGCTGTCCCTTTTGGCTACAAAACATAGCTTGCCATTAAAACATCAAAAATGAAAACATGCTACTACTGGCAATCAATAGAAAAACTTTAAATGGTCAAATTGCATGCTACTAAGTGTAGCACCTAGTTTATCAATAGCGAAATAAGGCCACCTTCCAACTATCTAAGGCCACCTAACATTGGCCCAGGACAAGCTCCTGCTAGTTTCCATCATACCTGGTTTGGGAGATCAATTTTTTATGGCAGTCATTGCAAACTTTCACAGCCTTTTTCCCTTTGCTTGGAATGACTATGGAATTTGATGTACATTTTGAACAGAAAATTTTGCCACAATTTCCACAATCATACTGCAGATTAGGAAAGATTTGTGTAATGAATGCGAAGGAAATGTAACATACTACGGTAAAATATAAGAATTTTAATATAGAAACTTTTATAAACCCAGCAGAAACTATGCAATTTTTTACAGCAGATTTCTTACCTCACGCTTAAAAAAGCCAAACTGTTCTGCGCATTGAAAGCATCTACCAGCCATAAAATCTGGCTGCTACATTTGCCTTGGGCTGTAAAAAACACCGAAATTAGTAAAATGTTGAACAAAATAATGGAATAAAGTTTCCTTGTTTACATTTTTTACAATGTTGTGAGTTGTGTTTCCACTTAAGTCTTCTTTTTCGGTTTTCGACGTGAAGATTATTAGATTTAGTCAGGATTAAGTTGAAGAAGATTGAGATATACTTTCTCAGAACGGAAGCACTGCAGTTGAGTTTTGTTGTGTTCAGTGTTTACTGTTTATAACTGCGTGTTCCATAATATAATTGGTGTTTATTGTCCACTATGTCAAAAAAAGCACAGGCAGTTGAGGTTGAAGATGAAGATGAAGATAAAGACCCATACGATACAAGAATAGAAAATTCTGGCTGTGCGAAATACCATTATGCTTTGCAAGTAAGATGTCATATGATCCCAGAGCCATTGGTGATTCTCGATCACCAATGTAAAGAGGCCCAGTTTACCGGGCCTAATTTACAGTTGCAGATCTTTTGATCATATTTTGGCAAGATAATCGAGATAACCTACACATGTTATGAAAATTGAAAAATGTGGTTGTGGTAGGACTGTATCATACACAATAACATTTTTATGACTGTCCATGGAACAGTTGAGATAATAAAATCTCCTTTCAAAGAATTCCATAGTAGCATTTAAATTATTAATATGTTTCTTATATTCACAGGATTGCTATGCTGAGCACAAAGATTGGAGAAAATGTACAAAACAAATGGCAGACTTCAAGAAATGCTTTGAGAAAAATTAATAGTTCTATACAATTAATAATGATCAAAATTCAATAATCATTGTGGCCACTGGTGGGTCTCGTCAGTCAGTCATCAGCTAGCCAGTGTTGTTCTTCGAATACAAACAGCATAAGGCATAGATATATGAACAGCAGTGTCCAACAGTAATGTAAAACGAGTCGTTTGGTATATATGGTCAGCGGATCGTAACGAAAAACAAGATGGAGGACCTCATAGACCTCAATCACCTCATCCCAAATTCATAAATTATCTGTAAAACTATTAGTTAAAAAATTATTACTCTTTATGTATTCCTGATTTCTTAATTAATTTTAGCCGTAGTAGATAAATTCGAAAATTTAAGTTTAACTTGTGCGTTTACTACCTGACGAAAGAGTTGATCTTTGTCTTCAAGTTTCAAACAATTTTATAAATACGGGTACCTGTTTTCGACTGTTCATATACTGCAATGATATTGCTGAACATAGACTAAACTTAGTGAACAATATTTTCCTGTTAAATTTTGGATTGAAAAGGCCTGTTTAGGAGGTAAACATTGAGAAGGAACTGAGGAATCTAAAATCTGAATTGGTGAGAGAATTAAATGCAAATTACTTATCTATTTAATCATACTTTTCAGCTAAAATGAAACTGAATTAGCGAATATAAAGCGAATTAAGGCTACATTTGCAAATTACTGCCAGAGTTCTGTTGTTTGGGTAATAAGTATTTTTAGATCTAAAAAGTTAGGTGTAGCCATTAAGGCATATAGAAACAAAACAATATTTGAACGAAGTTGCAAGCCCGAATTTAGAAAATTGTTCCAGTTGAAGAATCATAAATAACAATAAAAAGTGAAGACATATTAAAATTTCTGTTGTGAAATGTGACAGATTTGTATGTCTATCAGTTCAAAGGAACGACGCCAGTGGAAAATAATTTGAATGGGACAAACGGTTGTCCATCCAAAGACAAAGAGTGCAGAATAGTAAGTTTGGAGAGACGTGTTAACTTCTCTCACAGAATTTACGTGAAAACGAGGTAATGTCGAATCCAAATGCATCAGAGGTTAGTGATTACAAAATTTCAGTGTTTTGGTAAAAAATTACCCGTATCCGTGCTATTTGGATGAAGGGTTTCATTTAGCTTTGTAACATGTAACGAAATCTCGTATTCTAACAGGGATAATTTTTTAACAAATTACATTCCTGCTTAGCCTGCAACGCAGACTATATATTGGGGTATATATAGTCTGCTAATCAGCGGCACAAAGCTTGTATGGTCACGTGGGTTTCCCGAGAAATTGTGGGACTCATTTTGATTGGTTAGCTTATAATTATGCAAAATAATCAAAATTTTAGAATATTTATTATTTTCACAAACAACATGGCGTCCTTCATCGAAGCATCTTTGCTTGAAGAAGAGCACTTTTCGGAAGCTATTCGGATTGCATGCTGTTTTTTTCAAGTGGAAAGTCTTCATCGAGAGCAAGTCGAGGCACTCAAAGCCTTCTTACTCGGTAAGAATATCTTCTTTAGGGCTGGCACAGGCTACGGGAACTCTCTAGTCTTCCAAGCGGTTCCTCTCCTCGCTGACCTTCTCGAAGAACAAGTCGTTGGAACCAGCATTGTCATCGTAATATGTCGGCCGCAATGTCGAGAGAACGCTTTCCTTTTACAAGATTTATATCTGACTTCTTTTCCAGCACAGAGAAACACAGCACGCACATCAGCGCGGCCTTGTTGTCACAAATAATTATGCAATTTGCGCGCAAATCATATACATAATCATAATTATAATATCGGAAATAATTCGAACATTCACGTGACCATACAAGCTTTGTGCCGCTGATTAGCAGACTATATATACCCCAATATATAGTCTGCGTTGCAGGCTAATTCCTGCTAAGCTTTGTAATAATACAATTATGAAGTGCAGTATAATAATCAAGTATTGAATAATAGTTGTACAGGAAGTAAATAAGTGGGACAAACAAGTCGAAATTCAATTGTTTACATGCATACTACCACTGTTGCCTTACTATAGCTGTAAAGAGATCGTGTTGAATAATATAGGCGTTGTATCAACTCGGTCATTGGCCAATAATAACTTGACAAACTTGTTTAATGTAATCTTATAGCCTGAGGTGGCAGTTAAGGTCGATGAAAGACTTTCAACGCTATCTTCGATTGCAAGAAATGTTACTTTGCGCCTGACGAATCAGACGAGCACAAAGAAGGGAAATGTTCCAAAAATAGTCTCTAAAAATACTGCTACAAATGTGAATAGGAAAGAGCCTCTTGGAAATAGAAAAAAAGAAGTTTTAAACATCAAAGTGTTGAGTAACGGTGATGATGACCTACGTGAGAAAAATGTTGATTTGAAGCAAATAATTGAGGAAAAGGTAGTAAATAAAAATGAATGCCCTGAAAGTCCAACACAGTTCAAAGAAGATAAATTTGATTTAGCAAGCTCGAAAATGACTAAAATAAAAACATCTCAATTCGTCGAACTGAAGCAGTAGTTTTGCCAAACTCAAAACAGAATGAATGCTCAAAATGCCCAAAAATTGCTGAACAAGTCACATGCAACTGTAAAGGCTTGTTAAATGCCCAAACAAATCAAATCATTTTCTAAAACATCTTCAGAGGAACAAAAGATTATGAAGATGAAATCACCGCTAAAAGGGTCAAGTGAATGTAAAAAATGTAGTTCACCAAAACAGACGACGCGAAGTCAAAAAAATTCTGTACAAGGTCAAGGATCTAGTGTTAAATTAAAAATTCCTTTTGAAGCAGTGCGAAGAAGAAAGTCCATAAAGTTAGGTCGAGAACGAACTTTTGTGAGAAAGAAAAGTTTTTTAAAGAAAGGTGATGGGTTCTCTGCCAGAAGACCGCTTCACGAAACTAAGAGAACCGAGAAAGACGACAGTTTAGAAACTAAGGCAACAGATACAGGAAGGACGAGGAGTACTACATTCGGCAAGAAATTGAATGATAACAGTGGAAGGATTTCATTAGATGAAAAGAAGGATAATGTTAATCCCACATTTTTATTAGGTTAATATTTATTCCATAATAAATATTCTACGTTCTTTAACAAACGCATACATTCTTTATTACGAACACTTGTGTATTTTAGGTGAAACCGCAGGAATGAAATATTCAAGAAAGGCAACTAGAGATACATGGTAAATTGAATATAATCTTGCAATAAGCTTTTAGGTTAAAATATGATGGTGATGACGAAATCTTTCGCCTTTCTAGCTCTGGACCGGTAATTACGAGAAAAGCACATAGTAAAGTGCCTGCTTTTGACAACAGTGAATCGACGGATCCTCGATCAAGACGACGATGGAGTGAAAACGGAGTTCAGGTGGAAAAAATTTTTGCCACTGGTATCTTCATACGTATTGATAGATAGCTAGTCGGCATGATATGTGTGGATGTTTGATTATTTTGGTCGGTAGAAATATGAATACACCGTTCTTGTTGTCATAGACTTATGAAGGAATGATCTTTTCGACCATGTTTGCGTTTTCGGAAGAACTAAAGGAATCAAGCGATATCATTCATTCAAAATTACAGTAAGTACATACAACCAATTCAATCACAAGAAAAGCGCGCCACTAATGATTATATTTGAGGCTGGTTCGGACAGCAGCAGTTGGAATCTAGAGATTTCTAAAAATGTTTATGCTTTTTTCTATACCATACGATATGCAAGTATATCTTTTTTCACAGAGCATTGTACGATTCCACTAATAAGAGCAAAGCGTGCTCCATGTTTTCCAAGAAATCAAATGGTCGGTCAAAAGAGTGGCGGCAAAATAATCGTGAACTATTAGACAGTGGAAGTCAGGTAAAAGTCTTTCTGACCACGTTATGAACCAATCTGTTCAATCTCTATCGATTCATAATTTATGTATATGTAATATAAGTTATTTCGCATTGTTTTGGCGAATGTGATGATTTGTACATTAACATACACCACGTACTTGTTTACGGCTAACTTAATTCGGCGAGATCACAACGCATGCATGTTCTATCAAAATCGCACGTGGCATGAATGAGCTGGATCGGAGTTACATGTATATGTATGTGCCGTTGGCAATCTATTATTTCCTTTGACCGTAGGAAATCGCAGGAACCTTTAGCAACTTGAGAAAAGTGGAATCAAATCTTAAGAGTAAGCACGATTTTCCAGCATTGGTAATTTCTTGTGATATATTATACAAGATGTTGAATTGTTTCAGCTTTTAACATGCAATAATTTGACTATTTTTAGCCGTTGATCAGGCAGTGTCGATTCTACTTAAAGAAAAATCCAGAACTAAAGAAAGAATAACGGGTTTTTCAAAGCCAAGTTGAGAAGATTTCCTTATGACGGTAATCTTTAGCAATTCTCTCGCTTAGCCAGTTTTGTGTTTATATAAGTGACCTTTTTAAATCCAATAGATTATCAAGCTTGTTGATAAAAATTAAAAGTGATCCTAATTTAAAACTCAGCATCCAATATGGTATAACAACTGCCTAAAATAGACAAAAAACACTTCTCGACGTTTCGACCTGAGGGCCTTCGTCAGGAGAGTTGACTAACTCTATCTTAGGCAGATGTTATACCACATTTGATGCTTAGTTTTTTGAAGACGCTGCCATGCACGCTGCTCCCTGCCTGGTTATCATTTAAAACTCCCCTATTTAATTAGTCCAAATGTTATTATGCCAAAATGTTTGAAAAAAATTAAAGAAACCTTAGCGTTTATAGTCCAAAACCGTCCACTATAGTAATATATAGATATGCAAGAAATATAGATATAGATATAGCCTATGCATGAAATTTGAATCGCAGAATATTTTATGCACTGAGATGATGAGTCCAGAGTATTTTAATGTATACAAAGACTATGTTATATTTAACTTCAATAATATTTAACTTTCTTGCCCCGCCCGGATTGGATTGGTGATTGCATGCATGGTCAGGATGATTTGCGCTGAAATAATTTGTTCTGGTGGCTATGATGATTCGGAAACACATCTCCTTGCTCTTCCTCATGCATGATTGTGGCTTTTCTGCCAAGGCATTGCTCTTTGTTACTTGTAGAGATGTTGACAGAAGAGATCAAATTATACACAAAATTTGACAGAATAGAATGTTTTTCTATGCGTCTTCATTAATTTAATTACATAGATACAATCAAAACACAGCGATATACCTCTGCACAAAGCTACGAAATATGAAAGTTTTTTTTTTAAAAACTTAAGTAACAATTAGGTATAATATATAGGCCATCCAGTATATAAAGGCAAATTACAGTGTATAATAAAAATGATTATACAATATAGATTCATATATGACTTGCACTCCTTGAAAGACTTGAGGAGACTTAAGCAGAAACTAAACAAATAATTGCCATCAAGGCAAAAGTGAATTTGGTAACAGTAACACCAGCTGCACCGCTGCAATCTTTATTATCCTTGGTGGGTTTATCATTATCGGTGATGGGTTTATCGCCGCTGGGTTTATCGGTGGTGGGTTTACCATTATCGGTGGTGTGTTTATCGGTGGTGGGTTTATCGATGTTGGGTTTATTGCAATCATCGGTGCTGCAGCATTTGTATTCACAGGATTTCACAGTTGTCTGTACTTTCTTTATGTTTTCACACACCTTCGTAGCATCTTTGCAAATAAGAGCACCGACGCAGCCACCTACCGACACACGGTTTCCACTTTGATCGGTAAGAGTTTGCGAGAAACATCTATCGAATCCCGCGAAACAGGCGGTACTAGTGCATTTGTCGCCAATATTTCCAATACAGCATTTTAAACCACTACCTGAAAACAACACCACATAAACAATGAGACAAGGATAAAGTTAAACAAACCAGCATGCATGACAATTTTCCACTGATTATGTCGGCAAGCATAAAACCCGGAATATATCTCTACTATATATGGTAGTTTATACCACGCATATATCCGAATAGGGCTAAGCAACCTCAGCTATCATTTTCTTTCATGCAGTCAACCCTGTTAAAGCGTTTAAACGTGTTGAAACACAACGAGCGATGAATCCAATTGCATGCATGAGCAAGCATTAAAGATTTAGAATTCCTTTTAAAACTGTTAAAACGTTCAGGTATAATGTGAAAAATAAAGCATGCATTAATAAAAAAAAATAGCCACTGTATATCGTAAACAATCGTGTTGAAACGCAACGAGCAATGCATGAATCCAATTGAATTCAATTTCTAAAAATTTGGAAAAAATATAACTACCTAAAGTTACAACGGCCAACACGACTGCCAAGGTGATTAAAACTTTGTTCATCATTTTCGATTGTTAAACAATAAACTAGTTGTAATGTGTATATATATATAGACACGGACAGTAATAGCTAAATATAGACTTGATATTGATTAGGGGATTGATTGACATTAATTGAGGGAGATCTAGTTATGTAAGGGATATAGAAAGATACATAGAAAAAGCGTAAGAAACAAGCAATATTACATTGGCGACGAAGACTAAAACAAGTGATTAAAACATATTATAATGGCGACATATCTCACGCCTATGCCACCGTTTGACCCTGATGCTGACGCGGGAGGAAATATAGCGGCTAAATGGCGTACTTGGTTGGCAGATTTCAAAACATTTCTAACGGCGAGCAACATTACAAACAAGACACGCCAACGAGCATTACTTTTATACCAAGCAGGACCGCGAGTACGGGAAATCTTTCGACACTTTCCAGACCCTGGTAACGACGACGACTTCGATAAAGCGACGGAACTTCTCACCGAATACTTCGAGCCTCAAAAAAATCGATTATACGAAGTCTACAAATTTCGACAAGCAAAACAGAGCGACACGGAAACGATAGATCAATACCACACGCGTCTACGAACACTGTCAAAAAACTGTGAGTTTTCAGATGTAGAGTTCGAAATTATGGTACAAATTGTTATTGGAGGAAAGTCAAGTCGCGTGCGTAAACAAGCGTTGCGAGACCCCAAGTATGTTTTAAAAGATCTTTTGCTCGCAGCCAGGCGGGAAGAAATAAGCAAGACGCATGCAGCTGACATTGAAGGACATTTAGACAGCTGCAATATTCAAGCAGTTAAAACGCCAACCGCGAAAGAAACAAAACACAAGACATCCAATAAGACATGTTTTTACTGTGGTGGCAGCTACCCTCACACCAACAAACCGTGCCCTGCCAAAAACAAGACATGTGCCAATTGTGGTAAACTAAACCATTTTGCTAGCCAGTGCCGCAGTAGCAACACGAGAGAAAATAGACAAACTGGTAAACCACGCGAAGACCTACGACCAGTTAACACAGACCTCCAGGACAACACTAGCAGCGACAGTAGTGGTCCAGAATATTGTTACGCGGTCAACAACAAACAAAAACACCCGCAAGCGTCAATTGCTCTCAATGGACAAAGAGTAAAAATGACCATTGATACGGGGTCAAGCATAAATGTAATCGATAAACACACGTTCCAACAACTGCGAGATATCCGACTTCAGCCAACATCCGTGAAAGCATATCCCTTCAATTCCACAACACCTGTGAAGATGGAAGGAAAATTCCGCGTTTTAGCAGAGTCGAAACACAAATTCACGGTAGCTACCATATTTGTTACTTCTGACGACGGCGGTTGTTTACTTAGTTCTGAAACTGCACAAGAACTTGGACTCGTAAGTCTCCATTTAAATCAGATAAACAAGGAAACAGAACGTTCAAAAATCACACCAACAACGAGCGATAAAAACCTCGCACGCATCCTAGATAAACATGGCCCTGTGTTCTGTGGACTTGGGAAACTAAAGAACAAACAAATCGAATTAGTTATCGATGAAACCGTTTCACCAGTTGCACAACCGCAGCGCCGAGCACCGTTCCATTTACGCGGAAAAATTGAAGATGAAATACGCAGATTAGAACAGGATGACATCATTGAGAGAATACCCGAAGGAATTTCAACGGAGTGGGTTTCCCCAGTCGTCGTCGTCCCAAAGCGTGACGATAAGATTCGATTGTGCGTAGATATGCGAGTAGCAAATACAGCTATTCAGAGAACTAGACATCCCATACCCACTCTAGAAGCTGTCTCTATTGAGCTTAACGGAGCTCGGTTTTTCTCAAAACTTGACCTAACTCAAGCCTACCATCAACTGGAGCTGAACCCAGCATCTCGGGGAATAACAACTTTCTCCACTCATCTCGGTTTATATCGCTATAAAAGATTAAACTACGGCACAAATGCTGCAGCGGAACTCTTCCAACACACCCTACAGGAGACATTACAAGGAATTCAAGGAGCTAAAAACATCGCAGATGACATCATCGTGTTTGGAAATACTCGACAGGAACATGACCAAGCATTAGAAGAAGTACTTACACGTCTGCAAGAGAGTAACCTGACTCTCAATCTACAAAAGTGCAAATTCCTCAAAAAGAATCTTGAATTCTTTGGACTGGTATTCACAGAACAAGGTGTTAGCCCAGACCCCAAGAAAGTGGACGCTTTCGCCAATACAAAACCACCAACAACAGTCGGTGAAGTGAGAAGTCTATAGGAATGGCTAACTACAGCGCTAAGTTCATCAAAAACTACGCGACCATTACAGAGCCACTCAGAAAGTTGACCCAAAAAAAACGCTCGTTTTACATGGACGACAATACACCAGAAAGCATATGAAGACCTAAAGAGTGCTCTGACTAACAGTCCAGTTATGAGCCATTTCGATACATCCAAAGAAACCTCAGTCCTGGTGGATGCAAGTCCCGTTGGTTTATCTGCCATATTGACGCAAAAGGATCCAAAAACAAACGAAGACAACACTATCGCTTATGCCAGCCGAGCATTATCCCCAGTAGAACAACGGTACTCACAAACCGAGAGGGAAGCTCTCGCGATCGTGTGGGGCATTGAACATTTTCACCTTTACCTGTTCGGTGCACCTTTCAACCTAATTACTGATCACAAGCCATTACAGTTGATCTACAACAATCCTCGGTCCAAACCTCCAGCTAGAATAGAACGTTGGTTTCTAAGACTTCAGCAATACCATTTCAATGTTATCTACAAACCAGGCAGTGTTAACCCAGCAGATTTCCTGTCACGACATCCGCAATCGAAGATACCAAAAACAACCTTGCTGAAGAATACATAAACTTCATCTCGACTAATGCCGCGCAAACCACAATTCCAATACAAGTTATCAAGGAACATACGGAAAAGGATCCCAGTCTCAATGCAGTAAGAGAAGCAGTTAAGTCTGGTAACTGGGGCAGCAGTCATGTAAAGCCATTCATAAACATCAAAGATGAAATAACAGTGGACCATACAAATGGTGTAATCCTCCGAGGAACACGTATTATAATACCATCAACTCTACAAGCGAAGATAGTAAAACTTGCCCACAGCGGTCATCAAGGACTTGTCAAAACAAAAGCCTTGTTACGTCAGTATGTCTGGTTCCCTAACATTGATAAAGCTGTAAAAGAAGAGATCGATACCTGCTTTCCGTGCCAAATTAATGGTCCAACCGATCCACCCCAGCCTTTACTAACTCCAGAAACGCCGGACGGTCCTTGGCAAACTGTACATGCAGATTTCTACGGCCCGCTTCCCACCGGACAGTATATCATAGTGTTAATTGATAAATATTCAAGATACCCGGAGGCTGAAATCATCACAAGTACATCTGCTAAAGCACTTATACCAAAAACCGATGCTATCTTCGCGCGACATGGAATTCCACTGAAAATAAAGACGGATAACGGTCCTCCTTTCAATAGTAAAGAATTCAAAGATTATTTAACAAAGATTGGCGTAGAACATGAGACATCAACACCTGAATGGCCACAAGGTAACTCAGAAGCAGAAGCTTTTATGAAACCTTTGGCAAAAGCAATCAAGACCGCTCGTTCAGAACATCGTAACTGGGTCCAAGAACTTTCGAGGTTCCTGTTAAGCTATCGCACCACACCCCATTGTTCTACCAACATACCGCCCGCTCAGCTTCTCTTTAATCGGCCTGTCAGAGGAGTCCTACCCATGTTGAACCCAAAAGCTAAAGTACTAAACAGACATAAAGAAGCCAAATCGAATGACTCCAATGCCAAAGACAAAGGGAGAGAATACGCAAACAAACGAAGGAGAGTGGCGCCGTCAGAGATACAAGTGGGAGACACAGTCATTCTTAGACAGAAAAAGAAAAACAAATTTACAACCAAGTTCGAACCAACTCCTTACACGGTGCTTGAACGTAAAGGAGTTACAATAGTAGCTGAAAACCAAAGACATAAGGTGACAAGAAATGTATCGTTCTTTAAGAAGATACCAGACGCCGCAAAGGAATCCGAAGATGAAGATGATTGGAACATACCGACAGGAAATGCACTCATCGAACGAGCAGCGGACGAACCAACGCCAGAACCAGTGGTGAGAAGGTCAACAAGGCAGCGTAGACAGAGAGAACTTTTTGGAAATGCAATAAACCCAAACTTGATAATTCATTAAACAAAGGGAGAGATGTAATGTGTATATATATATAGACACGGACAGTAATAGCTAAATATAGACTTGATATTGATTAGGGGATTGATTGACATTAATTGAGGGAGATCTAGTTATGTAAGGGATATAGAAAGATACATAGAAAAAGCGTAAGAAACAAGCAATATTACACTAGTGAAAGGTAGAAGTGAATTTAAGACGTCGTTCGTGTTTATTTAAAAATATTAAATATTTCTTTAACCATGCATGCATGCAGGGTATAATTCCATGAGCGCTGTGCATGTATAAAATTTAGTTAAAAATATAGAAATGCATGAAAAAAGATGAATATGCCCTTTGCTACGGTAGTGAAAACTTAACTTTTATAGCAGAATAACTTTTAAAAGGACTTTACTATACCTTCAACTTTCAACGTCCAACTTGATTCTGCAAATTTATATAACTATAGTCGACACCTGCTGTAGCTATAACTAACTGCCTGTAGATCGTTTCAGCAGGGCTTTATATGCATTTTTACAACTTAATTGATATCATACATCGAAGCAGTCACGAGATTTCATAAATATTCTATGGTTTTATAATAGAAATAATTATTTTCGTTTTTCCATTTTTAAAAAACATCTAGAACAAATACCTTATATTAAATTGTCCTTAATATTCCTTTGTCGGGTTCTCAAATTCCTTTTAAATTACAGCAGTATCTCAGATGGAGCCAACATGTATAGACACGCAATAAAGGAACAATCATTATATAATAACTACAATGAAACACGCAATTTGATTGCTTCGTAGACGTGCAGTATGAGACAATCCTGCACGGAGAGTTTACAATGCCTCTTTGCGCGGGAAATTTGACCGTCGTTTCATTGTAGTTATTTACGGCTCGTGCTTTTTCACGCTTTCCGAAAGTCTCGCAATTTCCTGCGTGCAGTATCACGCAATCCTGCACGGAAAACCATTTAGTATTCCTTTAATAGCAACTTTATTATCGTCTAAAAGCCGCCCCCAAACATTCCACTTAATTAATTAACGAAATACCTCCCGCATGGCATTTTACACTTCTTGTTCATAGCTCCAACAAGGATATTGTATTGGTAGTATACGACCATGCAATATACTATACATATCACGATATTCGCAGAACGCGGAGTTGTCAATGACCATTACAACTATTTCATGTATAGACAAAATAAGGGTCTTCATTTCGAGTGGAGGTCCGGCCTATACATGCATCTCAAATTCAAGCCAGTTGCAGTTGAGAAAATGTGCCATGACTATCGGTCCTCTGGCTTGCAGGAATCGGACCTATGCCTTTGCGATGCCGGCGTAATGCTCTTGCCAATGAGCAGTCTGAGCTTACATGCAGGGGTAACTGACATGAGCGAGCATGCGTGGTTAGTTTGTTCTTAGGGTGGTATACAGTGGTAATGCCTGCAAATAGCCGAGGGTAAATCAATTAGGATTTTGTGAAACAGAAACATCATATATATGCATCCAGTTAAGTGCCATCAGATCGTATCCCGTATATATAGACAAAATATGCATGTGGAGGTTTTCTAACCATGCATTTACAAGCATCTTATAGCTAAATATAAATATTAATTATTACGAATAAATATTAATATACATGCAGAATGAAGAATATACATGCTGATATAAAGTGAGTATAACTCGAAGTTGGAGCCTCAGACTTTGTGTTTTGACTGCTATAGCCACTAGGTATCTAATTGACCTGAAGTCTGCAACAATTTTATTAAATCATAAACGTTTCACGTAAAACTCGTGATATCCAGCAGTAACGAATACACTTTCTATAAAAGCATTTTTTAATTAAGAATTAAAAAACGAGTCGCGTGCCTTTATGGTGTAATAATGCACGATGGGGGAATGTTGGGAGAATACGAGAGAAGCTTGTAAAACACGAGGCGTAGCCGAGTGTTTTACAAACTTCTCGAGTATTCTTCCAACATTTCCCCGAGTGCATTATTACACCATAAAGGCACGCGACGAGCTTTTTTAATTCTTTTATAATATAAGAAGAAATTATAGGGCAACAACAAAATTTATTTATTTGATCAATAATGAAATTCTCCTTACATGTTATTTAAGATGTTGCTTAGCAACAAAAACTTCAAAAGCCAGAAGCGTGCATTATGGCCTCACAATGCACGCGCGGTAGCCAATCAAATTGCTCGTTATATCATACTTATATTATAATGAAAGATGAAATTTTCTTTTTGTCAACTTTAACCGCACAATTCATCTCTACAATTGTAAGAATGACACAGTACTGCATTTGAGCAATCTGGGCTGAAACTGGATGCGATAATTGGAAGGGGGCGAGGCGTATTCACATACATGAAAATTTTCCCCCACCGACATTTTCACGCTAGTTTCGACCCTGTGCCGCATGCATGTATATGACGTTTCAACTGGGTTTATATATAACTTATACTGTACCCTACATCCAGGCAAGTACAAGATTACATAGATATTTAGTGGTTTTTAAAATGAAGAAACTATTTCCGTGTTTAATTAATTGATATAAATAACATAAGACGAATACCTTATTTATTGTCAGGGAGATCTAATGACTTTGGCATCTTATTAATTTATCTTATCGCACAATCGGCCAGCATGTAGTGAGAAACAATACAACTACTTAGCTATTGGCGTATGCTGTCTAAAAGTCACACCCAAACCTTCCATAGACGGTGGAACAGACAGTTAAAAGGAGAAATAATGAATAACTTTTACATTGAGGATTATTTCGGCAAACACGTAGAGCTACTGTACGTGCTGTTTGTCTCTCTTGTTCATATATACATTTAATTATATATATATGATTTAAATATTGTCATTGTCATTCACATGCAGGGCGGGGTTTTCAATGAGAATTTAAAACTATCTTTATATATATATATATATATATATATATATATATATATATATATATATATATACACCCGTTTGCAAAAACGTTGGCCGCAGATAGATATATAGATAGATACCCGAAATCTAATTAGAATTGCATATGTTGTGTAATATGATTGAAATCCCATGCAAATGTAATCATTTGCAATTCTAATTAGACTTCGAGTATCTATCTATCTATCTATCTGCGGACAACGTTTTTGCAAATGGGTATATATATATATATATATATATATATATATATATATATATATATATTGTTAATTGTTTTTGTATACACCGGCCCTGTACCTAGATATATTAATTTCGAGAAAATAATCGATTGACCGCAATTACACCGAAAAATAATTTAATTCATTCAATTTAATACGGTCGCGCGAGCGAATTTTTCCCAAAGGTTCACAATCACGAATAGACCATGGTTGAGTAGCCAATAAGAATGTAGGAGTTGTAATGACAATAGTCTGGTGTATACTAAATATAGATAGATATAGATATATCTTTATTTGGAAACATCTTGTTGCTCTTCCCCATGCATATTGTGGCTTTGCTGCCAAAGCATTGCTCTTTGCTACTTGTATAAAGATCTAGACAGAAGAGATCAAATTATACACGAAATCTGACATTATAGAATATTTTTCTATGTGTTTTTATTAGTTTAATTACATAGATACAATCAAAACACAGCGATATACTGCTGCACAAAGCTATGAAATATGATAAAGGCAAAGTTTTTAAAAACTTAAGTAACAAATAGGTAACAAGTTAAGGCCATGCAGTATAGAAAGGCAAATTACAGCGTATAATAAAAATGATTATATAATAGACTCACATGAATTGCATGCGCTCCTTAAACGACTTAAGGAGACTTAAGCAGAAACTAAACAAACATATGCCATCAAGGCCAGAGTGAATTTCGTAACAGTTACACCAGCTGCACCACTGCTGGGTTTATTATCCTTGGTGGGTTTATCGGTGTTGGGTTTATTGCAATCATCGGTGCTGCAGCATTTGTATTCACAGTTTTTCACAGTTGTCTGTACTTTCTTTATGTTGTCACACACAGTCTGAGCACCTTTGCAAATATCAGCCTTGCCGCAACCACCTTTAGACACACGGTTTCCACTTTGATCGGTAAGAGTTTGCGAGAAACATCTATCGAATCCCGCGAGACAGTCGTTACTAGTGCATTTGTCCCCAATATTTCCAGTACAGCATTTCAAACCGCTACCTGAAAACAACACCAATTAAACAATGAGGCAAGGATGAATTTAAACAAACCATGCAGCATGACAATTTTCACTGATTATGTCGGAAAGCATAAAACCCGGAATATATATCTACTATAGTAGTTTATAGTTATACCATGCATATATCCGAACAGGGCTCAGCAACCTCACTGCAGCTATCATTTTCTTTCATGCAGTCAGCCCTGTTAAAGAGTTTAAACGTGTTGAAACACAACGAGCGATGAATCGAATTGCAAGAGCAAGCATTAAAGATTTAGAATTCCTTCTAAAACTGTTAAAACGTTCAGGTATAATGTCAAAACTAAAGCATGCATTAATAAAAAAAGGTCACTGTATATCGTAAACAATCGTGTGAAACGCAACGAGCAATGAATCCAATTGAGCAAGCATTAAAAATTTAGAAAAAGATATAACTCACCTGAGGTTACAACAGCCAACACGACTGCCAAGGTGATTAAAACTTTGTTCATCATTTTCGATTGTTAGACAATAAACTAGTGAAAGGTAGAAGTGAAGTTAAGACGTCGTTCGTGTATATTTAAAAATATAAAATATTTCTTTAACCAGGGTATAACTCCATGAGCGCTGTGTATAAAATTTAGTTAAAAATATAAAAATGCATGAAAAAAAAATGAATATGCCCTTTGCCACGGTAGTGAAAACTCAACTTTTATAGCAGAATAACGTTTAAAAAGACTTTACTATACCTTCAACTTTCAACGTCCAACTTGGTTCTGCAAATTTGTATAACTATAGTCGACACCTGCTGTAGCTATAACTAACTGCCTGTAGATCGTTTCAGCAGGGCTTTATATGCAT